TCCAACTATGCTACACTTCCACACTATGCCGTGACCCCACTGTGCTACCGTTTTTATATTATAAGCTTGTTTAATATAGATATTACCATTAAAAACAACCCAGCACAGGGGGGTCCCGGCACTGTGACGTGGCATAGTTGGATCAAGTATAATGATATCTGACAGTGATTAAAATCACTATAAAAAAAAACGCTTCGATGCAAATCTTTAGATAGTGTTTAATTTTAAAAAATTGGTGGATTATTCCAAAAGCAACATAATCTGCTAGTTCGTTATTAATATCCTGATTCAGATAAAGTATATCGAATGAAAAAGGGATTATTAAAAATTATTGTTTCTCATAAAAAAATTATGTTGATCCATACACTTTTCAATAAGTTATATCATTATAAAGTTAAAAATGTAAAAAATAAAATCGAGAATTTTCACACAATAATAGCATTTGGTAGCTATTTTCACCGTGAAGACAAAATAAAGTCTGAAATTTTTTTTTTGCATAATAAAGTACATTACATTAGATTTAATATAAGATATATATAAAAGTGTCAGATCTTCCGGAAATTTCAAAAGTTAAGTTGAAAAAGTTAATTTTTTATGAAAAAGTGGTCATTTTAAATCCCCCCCTGTGGGCAGATAAAGGGTCAAATTTATTAAAAAAAATATACCAAATAATAGGTAAAAACATCAAGCATCTAAAAAACAAAAAATTATATTAATTTGATTATTTTTCAAAAATGTATGGCACTTTTAAGTAAAAAAAATTGAAAAAATTTCGAATATTAGCGATTTTTAAATTTGTAATTTTTTTGGAGGTTTCCCCCATTTACGGGGAACGAGGGAATTTAGTAAAACCAATACCTTCTCAGCTTCGTATCGAAGCTAAAAATTAACTCGACACCCTTATAAGGTTTATGGGACAAATTATAAAATGCTTAATAATTAATAAATCAAGAAATACATTAAAATAAATAATACCAAAAATAATATTCTTAATATAATTATTATATTAAAAGAAATCAAGTGGTTAATTTTAAAAGAATTACCCTGCATTATAATATTGCCCATTAAAACGATTATATTTGGCTAATTAGTGGGCTGGATACCCCTCCTTCCACAATACTTCCATGTGTATTATTAAAAAAAATTACATGATATATCTATAAAATACTTGGTAAACAATNTTATATCTTTAGTAATTTAAGAAAAGATAAACCTAGAAAATAAATAAGAAAACTCAAAATTGATTTTTAAGATTTAATCAGTAACAATATTTTACAAATTATAAAATTTAAAAAAGGCTGCTTTTCAACTATAAACTGGTTAAATTGTAATAAAATTCAAATTTTGGGTAAAAAAATCAAAGTTTATTGAAGGAATTAAAGAAACCTTTATTTAACAAATTTAAATTCGAAGAAATTAAGACTTAAATAGAAATATTTTAACATTTATTTATTTATGATCCAAAATAGTATAATTTTTATACTTCTATTATTATATAATTTAATCGTGGAACTAATATAAAACTATTACACTAACTCAATTGAAATTTTATTTAAATCATATTAACTATTTAGTAACTTATTTACGCAATAGAAGTTTTTTTTATTAAAAATGAAATTGATGTTAAATTTTATTTGCATAATCCTAATTGTCCATGGAAGTGTAAAATGTGAATTAACAGTAAAACAATTCTTAAAAATGACTGAAAAATCCGGATGGGAACATTTTAAATCGATATCTTTTAAAACAGATGCGAAACCGTATGTTTTGTGGGAATTTATATATAAACCTAATTCAAATATTAAAGATACGTTTTACTGCCGTGATCCAAGTATTGCTAATCAAATATTGTACGCGAATATGTTTTTGAATTGTAAGTACAGTATTATTCTTCATCATTTATTTTCAGTATTAAATCATTTAAGTTTTATTTGCTTGAATTTTAATCCTGAAAATGAAATTAAAGCAGCGGTACAGTGCTTTGAATTATACCGTTTAATAATAATAAGAAGTAAATTATTGATTAGGTCATTGGCACATGCATTGAATCACATTAGTCAATTTTATGAGAATGATTCATTGCGTAACATATTCAATAAATTGTCAAAATTCATAGATGATTTGAAAAAACATTCGGTAGTTTTTCATGACACTAAGTACGAGTTTCTAGAATTATTAATGAAGGATTTCTTTAATATACCTAATATGAAAACAATATTAAAACTTGAAATAGTAAATCACATTAAGATCAAAGATTTCTTAACTGGGTTACGTGGTCCGTTGCAAAAATTTATTCAAGAAAATGATTGTAAGTTGATGCAAAAAGATCCTTTTATATTTTCAATAGTACCTGTTTTAAATTACTCTAGTGGTCATACAGATTGTGGATCACTAAATAATGTCGCAATAAATAGTGTTTTGTTAAATTTTCGTATATCTAACCAAAAAATTTTAAAAAATGATATTAACAATATTGGATTTGAATGTGATTATAAATTAGAGGATTCCATTAATAATGACAAAATTATATTTACTATAAGAAAACAATGAATGTCAGAACTTTGCGTCATTTGAGGAGTATTATAAGTGTACAAATGTATCTGAAAATTAAAATTAATAAACTATAAATTTTGTATTTTCTGTAGATAAATTGTATGTTTGAATATAATTTAACAATCAGTGTCTAAATTGAATTCGCTGTTAAATTTAAAAATATAAAATTTCATAAAAAGTATGTGTTTGATTTATTTCATGTGTTTTTAGATTGATTATTCTTTCATCAATGAAAAATCTTATAAACATAAAATACGTTCTTATTTGACCATAAACATGTTTTTTTGTTATACTTGTTTTAAAACATGGTTAATATAAGAAAATAAATACCGTTTTAGTTAGAAATTAAAAAGAAACTACTGGAAAATACAAAAAATTTATCTAATTAAAAAATTAAAATCACTATCATAAAAATCAATTCGAAGCAAATTGATAGATAGATTTTCCAAAAGCAATATCTCCTTAATTAATACTAATTACAAGTTTTTTGATTTTTGGGTATAATACATGATGAATACTATTTATACTAATTAAATTTAGTATGAAATTAGTATTTAATAATTTAGTGAAGTAATTTTTTAAAAAAAAAGATCGATTATTCTGACCTTCGTTAGTTAATTATAATTTCAGTTATTAAATTGAAATTGTAATTTGTGTTTAGCTATCGGCAACTAGAATATTTTTTAAAAAGGGTAGCCTTCTTCCTTTTATTATTCATACTGTGTAATACATACATCAAAGACCAGGCATATCACTTGGTCCAACTGTGTCATGCTATTATGTATACGTGATCAGGTGGTTGTTAACATATATGCTGGTGTATTATCAGGGCCCTCCTGTGTGAGCAGTTGTTGTCGGTTGTTTTTGTAGTTTAAAATAAGTAACTTCACATTTTTTCTCACTTTTCTTTTAGTGTAGCGAAAGTTACCGCACTAGGCGGTTATTTAGTTATTGTCAAACCAGAGAGTTGTCGCAATTGGTTTGTCGTCTATGTAACTTGAACGTGCAAATAATATTACTCATGTTATAATTGTAAAGTTGAATAATTTAGGAGAATTTTAAACGGGCTGAGCTGTGTGCAGCAGGAAATGAAATTAAACAGAGAAGACTGGGTTGGATCACCTCAATATAGATGTATTATAATTTAATTAATTAATTATCTCATTTGTTATACATGTTTCATTTGTTATCTTAAGTAAGGGTGCTCAATGTTTTAAATTGTTAAATCATATAAAATAATAAAAAAGTGTCAAACTGATTAGTGTGTTAAGTGTCTTATAGCTGCTAATAGACGAACCTCACCGGTAGGAATCTAAGGTGAACATACTGGATGTACATTAAAAGCTGTAAAATTCCATCTTGAAGATATTTAAAACTATCGCTTGAAACTTATTTTTTGTAAAAAGATAGGGTTAAATAGGTATTTTTTCTTTTCCATTTTGTATAGTTATACTATTTGACCTAAAATATAGTAATAAATAGTTGAAAAATAATTAGAATACAATATTAAAACAATACGATAAACGGTGGTTTTTTAATTGAAAATAACATTTTTTATTAAACTTCGTCACATAAAAGATAAAATGGGGGAATATTAAACTACGCATATTTGCTTTCCTATTTAAAGAAAGTCAGTTGTAAATTGCACCGATTTAAAAAAATACCTAAATCAAAAAAATTTTTGGCAGTTATCATAACAGCACATTTCAATTTCATTCCTGGATATCCATAGACCTAAACGTTTAAAATAATATTCGTTTATCATACTTTTATTTATAAGTTACAGTTTAATATATGTTATAAATACTTAGTATATTCACTACTTTTGTCTACAATGGGTAAAGTATTACAAATATTTATAACAATAAAAATTCTCAATAAGAATTTATACATTTTTTTTAGAAACACTTAATAAATGACGATATAGCGTGGTTTATAATTTTAAGTTTTGTTGTGTCACACTAACAAAGAACTTTAAATTGATATAACTAAATTAATTTAGTTATAAATAAAAATAAATATGACCACAATCATGAAAGAGTTAATTTGGCCATCAATTAAGTTCGATCTTCCTTTAAACGCAAAGCACAAGAAGATTTATAAGATAAACTAATAAAAATTGCATTAAAATAACAAAGCGAATTATCAATAAGTGCTAAACATGTTTTTGATTTGAGGCAATCAAGATATCGGAAGCGGTAAACACTTCTCCCTAATCTTCCTGGATTCCTTACAAGTGCTATCAATTAAGTTGAGGAATCAGATTTAAGATTAAATAATGATGACACAATTAGTTTTTGTTAAAGAGATAATGCAAATTGTTATAGTAACGTGTTTGAGTAATTTAACATTTTAATGCAACAGAGTTAATACTATCTTAGTCGATGGAATTTTTACCTTGTGTTCAAAGTATTGTTATCAACAATACACACAAGTCGGAGCGGTTAATAATTATTATTTACATTTAATTTTTTTTTTACCGTCAACAACAGAAGATATTTATTAAAAAATGTGGACCATATGTTCTACATATGTTAAAAACAACTTATTTCAACCCATTTTTATTTTATTAGACTTTAAAATTGAAGCTTATAAAACTTGTAAAGAAATATACATGCTATGGTATCGAAAAATAAGTTTAATTATAGTACTAAAACAGATATATATTGATAACAATTCAGTATCTGGCAATTGGTTGAAATTATTTTGTGGTTTGTCTTACTTGCCCTCACTACTTATTTGTGATGCGTTGTTGAGTTCAATGATTTCCGATTGTATAATAAATAATTATATCGAGTCGAGTTGTTTTCCGCCTACTTTATAAAGAAGAACATATGAGTTAAATTTTACGTTATAATGTAACATAAGAACTATCGATCGTAAATTTTACTTACGGCCAATTTTGGGATGTATTTTATGTGTCCCATCCAAATATATTGCATGAAAATTTTTTTTGTCAACATAATTTTTGAAAATGTTCCGGTACGATTACATTCTTCAAACCTATATCAAATTAAAACTCTTGAAGTGTATTACATTATTAAAAAAAAAACTATGTTCAATTAAGCAAAAAATTTACAATTATTGTGATATCTAACAAATTCGTATCATATCATATTTTATGATAGTGATGTTAATCACTTTCAGATATCATTTATACTTATCTCAACTTTACCGTGACTTCACGGTACTAGATATTTTAATTATACATTTTTTCTTGAGTGTGTTAACTTAATTATTTTAGATATCAACATAAATATTAAATTAGTTTATGCCTTTTTTTATAATAATTTTAATTATATGTATTTCATTTAAATTATAAAGTTTGAAATAATTTATAAAACATTTTTAAGTTTATATATGGTAATAAAATAGCTCCTTTACGAAATAGAAATTTATTCTGAATGGAATAATAAATAAAATTGAAAAAGATTTTTAAATTGAATTAAAAAATAATTATTATTAATATTTTTTTAAATTATGTACTGTAGAACTGTGAAAGATAAATTTCTGAATAATTATATCTCTTTTTTAACTTTTAAATTATCCAGGGGTAATACTGATTTTAAAGAAAATAATTTTTTTAGGAAATGTGATAGTTATAGCTTTGTACATAATGTCTTAAAACTAATTTTTAAATCATAAATTTGTAGAATTTAACACTCGCTTTTATGTCGCTTTTATTATTAACCTTCTTTTAATTCATTTAAGACCTACACATTTCTGCGTCGCTTCGTGGTACAATGAGCCTTTTTGACCTCGCTTTATTTGTCATCCATCGCCCCATTACCTGTATAATATATAAGTAGTATTATACAGGGTGTTCAGTAAGTCAGGAAACGGGTTTCTATTGTTCTCATTGTTACAAACAATTGTATGTAAATTGTTTGTAACAATGAGAACAATAGAAACCCGTTTCCTGACTTACTGAACACTCTGTATAAACTGTCATATTATGGCAATTTAACTGACCGATACCATGTATCAATGATACATCATGGTAAGGAGGTCCTACGTTATAGAGAGGTAATTTTTTTTCAAAAAATTGTCCAATACACCCTCACATATTGTTCGAATATTAAAAAAAATAAAACCTACCAAATTTGGTCATGATAAATCAACTTTAACACGTGCCACAAGAGAATTGAAAATCGAGCCTGAGGGGTTGTTTTTCAGTTTTTTGAACTTAACTTAAAAACGATTAAACTTACAACAAAATTATATAGAGCATAATTTTTAAACATAAATATTTACTATAAAAAAAACGTTTATGTTTTTTTAACAAAAATTCAATAATTTTCTGTAAAAATTAAAAAATTAATCTTTTTATTTTTTACTGAATTATTATTATTTTTTTTTTTAAGTATAAAAATATTTCATCAATTGTTCGTCACACAATAAAATGTTTCATACAAAAGTTACTTGAAATTAAATTTTCTAAATTTAAGTTTTTATATATTTTTCTGTAACTTTAATAATTTCCGTGGCGAGTTAAGTTTAATAAAATAAAAATAATTTATTATCCTGAAACATATAACGTTTTAATTAAAATGAAGTAAAAGCAATGTTTATATTTTTATATTATTTAATTATTGTTTTTTTCGTGTAAAAACATTTAGTTTAAAATAATTTTATAACACACAAACAAAAAATGATATATGTAGTTTTTAGTTTTAGTTTTAGTTATTATTGAGGTGGACATAATGCCCATGCACTCAGACCTGTTGGTCCATTGTGCGCACCTCATACCGAATTGTTTTGATTCGGTTTACCCACCTAAGTGTTATCACCAAAGTGTTAATACATTACCAACCATAAAGTCACCTCTAAAGATGACCAAAGAGTCCTGTCTTTCTGGCGAAATTAAGTATCTCTCTGGGTTTTAGGTTTTTAATATCCTCTTTTTCAGGAAATGGTTTATTCAAGTAGTTTGATCTTAGTGTGGACAAGGCTTCACATTCGCACATGATGTGAAATGAGTCTTCCTCTTCTACTCCACACTTCCTGCACAATGGTGATTCCGATACCCCCATTGCGTTAAGATGCTTAAGCAGGTGACCATGTCCTGTCAGTAGACCAGTCAGGGTGCTTATTTGATGTCTAGTCATGCTATTAAGATCACCCAGCAATAAACCAGGGGTCTTGATAAACATTTTAGATTGTCTAGGTACTACCAAGTACTTCCAGATTTTCCTGTGTTGTTCTCTGCACCAATTCTTGGGTAACGCTTTGAGCGATTGCTCAGTGAGCCCTACCACTGGTTCTGGTCCAACATAGGTGTTCTCTGCTCCTTTCCTGGCTAGAAAGTCAGCATTCTCATTTCCAGTGACACCGTTGTGTCCTGGTACCCACGCTAGTGTAACTTTGTTGAACCTCGATAGTGATTCTAAAGTTTCCCTGCATTCGAGGACCAGCTTTGAATTCACCTGATCGTTACAGAGTGCTTTCAAAGCCGCTTGACTATCACTTAAGATAGTTATCTTCCTATTTTTGTATACCAGCAGGTTCTGAGCCCCTACCAGTATCGCCATCACCTCTGCTTGGAAAACAGAGGGTGTTGTGCCCAATGACATACTGACATTTATTCGTGGCTTTAAGCCCCAAATTCCAGCACCTACCTTTCCTGATTTTTTGGATCCATCTGTATATATCACAAATCCTCCTTTGTCAGTCAGGTGGTTAATATTCCATTCTATACGTGTAGTGATCTCCACTTTGTAGGGAATGTTATTCTTAAGAACCGGTTTGATATAGTCCAAGGGGTATTCTAAAAAGCCCTTGTCTATCTCTTTTAGTATTTTACCATGTTCTGTTGTATCACTCTCCAAAGTCCACATACCTAAGTTGTGGAATCTTAGTGCTGTAGCTTTGGCGTGAGCTTTCACCTCTAGATGCAGAGGAGGCAATCCAATTAGTGCCTCTAATGCGACCGTTGGTGTAGTTCTTAATGCTCCAGTGATGGCAATAGCAGCCATTCTCTGTATGCGACTAAGTTCTTTCCTAGCTGTAATGAGTGCTGTTCTGGTCCACCAGACCAGGGCACCGTACAATATCATAGGTTTAATCACTGACGTGTACAACCAATACATAACTCTTGGTTTAAGACCCCATGTCTTTCCCAAGGCTCTGCTGCAAGTCCACAATGTGGTCATTGCTTTTTTGATTCTTGACTCAACATGTGATTTCCATTTTAGCTTACTATCCAAGATAATACCTAAGTATTTTACTTCTGATTTTAAGCTAATTTCTTGTCCATTCAGAGTAAGAGTGTCCAGGTTGTCTAGTCCTATTCTCTTTCTAGTGAACATAACAACCTCTGCTTTATTTGGATTAACAGATAGACCGTACTTACTACACCATATCTGTATAGTGTTAAGTCTCTGTTGTGCTAAGTCAATAATAGTGTCTGGGAATTTACCCACCACTGTTATAACCAAGTCATCCGCATAGGCTTGTGTATAACAATATTTGTTTAACTCTCTAATAAGCGAGTCCAATACTAGACACCATAGCAAGGGGGATAGAACCCCGCCTTGTGGGCATCCCTGTTTGACACTCTTGATTACTTTGGTCTCATTGAGCTGTCCCAAAATGGAGCGTTCCTTAAGCATGGATTCTATCCACTTAATAATAAGTGGTTCTATTCCACGCTGTTGTGCAGATTCACACATAGCATCGAAGGGAGTATTGTCAAAAGCCCCTTCGATGTCCAGGAATATACCTACTGCATACATTTTATTCTCTACAGCTTTCCCTATCTTAGTAGTTAAGCAGTGTAGAGCTGTATCAGTAGATTTCCCCGTTTGATACGCATGTTGGTTTTCATGTAAAGGGTTCTCCTTAAGAGGCCCCTCCTTGATGTACCTATCAATAAGTTTCTCCATAGTCTTAAGAAGAAAAGAAGTAAGACTTATTGGTCTGTAGGATTTTGCTTCATAATAGTTAGTGCGGTTAGGTTTGGGTATAAACACTACCCTAACCTTACGCCAGCTTTCTGGTTGATAACCATAGGCAAGGCATGCCCTAAATATTTTGCAGAGATGGGGGACGATTATCTCTAACCCTTCTTGCAGAAGTGCAGGGAAAATTTCGTCACAGCCTGCAGCTTTAAAACTGCCAAAGGCTTTTATTGCCCATCTTATTCCACTTGGGGTTATCACTTTCCTGGTTAGTCTCCAATCAGCACAGGTCACACGTTTGTCCTGTGCATCATGTTCCTGTTCTCTGTTGTTAATTGTAGAGTCAGGAAAATGTGTGTTCATCAAATGTGATAATGTTTCATTATCATTATTGGTGAACATTCCGTCTGGCAGTAGTATTGCCTCGACAGTTTTGTTTGGTCCATTCCTTAGTGATCGCAGAAGTCTAGTTGCTATAGGGAGTTGTTGTATATCCCCACAGAACTTCTTCCAGCTTTCTCTTTTGGACTTTTTCAATGCAGATTTGTAGTTCCTTTGGGCGTCCTTATAGGATTCCCAGTGTTGTTCCAAACCTGATTTCATTGCTTTATTTAAGAGCTTACGTGAACTCTTTCTTAATTTAGACAGGTTAGCATTCCACCAAGCTACACCCTGCCCTGTACCTTTCCTTTCTATTAAAGGACAGTTTTCTTTGTAAGCTGAGACAATGGAGTCCTGTAGCATATTTACAGCCCTTTCAGTACTCTGTCTCGACCCCAATCTAAACTGTAGGTTAATCAGGTCACGAGAGAGATCTGCCCTGTATTTGTCCCAGTTTGTTCTTTTCGGGTTCCTATAGTACTCCGTCTCAACTTTGTTAATTTCCAAAGTGAATCGTAAGTGCCTATGATCAGAAAGAGAAGGTTCGGAGGACACTTTCCACCCTTTTATCTTTTGAAGTAACCCTTTTGAACAAACTGTTAGATCAATGACTTCCTGCCTGTTCCTGATAACAAAAGTAGGTTCACTACCTCTATTCAGTATACTTAGGTCTGTAGTCAGCAATAGATCCATTATAACCTCTCCTCTTTGGTTGATGTTACTGCTCCCCCAAATAGTGTGGTGTGCATTAGCATCCATACCTAGGATTAGTTCTAATTTTTCATTTTTGCAATAATTAAAGAGCATAGTTAGGTCCCTACCTGGGTCTGTGACCTCATATGGTAAGTATCCTGAAGCTACTATAATGTTTTTACCATCATTTAGTGTTACTCTAATAATAGTCAAGTCTGCACTTGATAGATTAAGTATCAGGCTGGCTTTAACTTTATTATTAACCAAAATGCAAGTTCTTGGTTTATCTGCTTGTTTATGAAACAGTTTAAAATTCCTTAGATTTAGCCCCTTAATCTGGTGTCCATTTATCCATGGTTCCTGAATAAGTGCTATTTGTAAGGGTGTTGTATGCCTCTCATTTAAGGTCCTTAGTAACACGCTACTGGCCCCCTTACTGTGATGCAGGTTTATCTGAGTGAATTGAATTCTATTGTCCGAGGGTCTACGTTTTAGATCCTCGATTTTGTCAGCTACTGCTCCCAGTTGATCTTGCGACTCCTGGTCTGCATTAGTTGACGTTGCTGTCTCTTTGCTAGTAGACGGTTCACCAAGAGTCCCGTTGTTGGCATTGAGACCTTCAAATACAGCGATTCTTTTGCGAAGAATCGCTAGTTCACGCTCTTGTTCCGACAGGTTGTCCGTAGGATCCCTGATCGTCACAAGTTTGTTGTTTTGTGGTTTTTCTATGTTTTTATCCATATAGTTCCCACGAGAAGTCGAGAAATAAAGGTCCGTCACAGCAGAGCTCGATACTGTGATAAGGCTGTATACTCTATGGTGCGCCAGGTGCCATAGAGGATCCCAATGGTCACTTTACCTTTCGGCTAACTACCCTGTGACAAGTTAGCAACCCTTTCACTTGGTATGGCTGGGTTAGGAGGGCCTATTCGCTGTTAGCAAGCAGGTATGCCCAGGCCTACCGGTCCCAACTAATCAAAGTCATGACCGGCTAAGAGCAGTGGTACGTGTTGCCACCCCCACTGAAATAACTAGGGTCCGCGGGGTTGTTAGGCCCGTAATCCTTGCGGATTCCCTTGCGGGGAATGATATATGTAAATAAAATATTAATTATTTAAATAATTTAAAAATTATAACTTAATTTTTAAAACTTTAACTCATACTAAAAACGAAAAATATCCTATGAACTAATATACTAATTTATTTTTAAGTATTTGCATTTAAAGTTCCTTTTTTATGGTCAGGATATTGTTTTCGATATTCATATACGACCTGTAATAAATATTGTTTCTGTTGTTCATTATGGATAATTTTGTTGTTGAAATA